CTAGTTCGAATCCCCCTCCCTCGCTCACTCCCCCATCCTCGCTCGCCCGCACCCCCGCCTCCCTTGCTCACTCCCCCATCCTCGCTCGCCCGCGCCCCCGCCTCCCTCGCTCACTTTCCCCCATCCTCGCTCACCCCGTGCACCACCTCCCTTGCCCACGCCCTTGCTCACCCTGCCCGCACCCCTCCCCCCCCCTCCCTCCCCCCCCCCCTCCCCCTTCTCACCGGGCACGTGCCTGGTGGGTCCTCGGTGCCAGCCTGTGCTACCACCTGATGTGTAGCCTGTTGGCATCTCCTCCTCCCAACGAGTAAAGGAGACAGTACATGCACCCTGTGTGCCATCTCTGTGCCCATCAGGCTTCTGGCTAACTCAGTGTCACAATGACTGACTGTTACCCATCTGCCCCATACACTGGTGCCTGTCACCCACACACCCTTTCTTCTTGGTATTCCCCTCTGTAGGGAATTGGTGGGGGGAAGTGGCATGGAGATGGTCAGGCACTGCTCGGACCAACAGGAGTGGGTAAAACGCACGCCCGGTGTGCCCCATCAGTGTCTCTGGGAAGTGCAAGATTCCTCCAACCACACACGCATGCACTGTACCACACGCACACTCTCAAAGCTCCACTTTGTGTTTAGTCCTCCCTCCCTTAACAAATAAAAAGTTGTAATCTTTTTTTTTTATATATTTAAACAAACTCGACTGTGTAGCATTGTCATTGCTGAGCAGGCACATGTGCAGTTGACTCTGTGGATTTTTTTTTGGGGAGTAAGAACAGTCTCTGGCACCCAGGAGCAGCTGGGGGAATCGGTCTAACCCGGGCACCCACTTTATTGCTGGTATAGGCCGGGCAGGCGCGACTCTGGATCGGCCAGAACAGTGGCACGCTCTTGGTAGTGGTGGGGTGGGGAAAGGTGGCGAGTTGTCCCCTCTCCTCGCCAGTGCCAGCCCCTCGGGATGGTAGAACAGGGCATCCTCTCCCTCTCCCAGAGGGTCTTTGCCCATTCCAGCATGGGCATTCACCCACCTTCTCTTCCCCCCACCCCCGACTCCTATTGCTCTGTCTCCCTCCTGCACACAGGCTGGAAGTCAACAATTCCTTGCGTTTATGCAGGAGGGAACGTCCAGAGCTCAGAACAGCACAGATCTCATACTGGGCCAGAGAGGGTAGCACGGCAATGCAGCCCCTTCCCCTGTATCAGCCAGTGCCCTCTGGTCAAGGGTCTGTCTCACCACAAGCTACCTTTTTTTTAAAGAGGGGCTCACAGGCAGAGAGAGACCCAGCTGTGTCTTTACTTCAGCTCGAACTGATTGCAGCGTGGGTGAGGAATCGCAGAACAGTTAGAGTAACAAAAGGAAACCCTCCGCCTCCCACCCCCACCTCGCTCTGTCATCTACCCTGCCTCCCGGAGCAAGCAACTCCTTTTCAGTTAGCCCACGTTCCCCCAGCCCCGTTGTTTGTCCTGTTCCGGTAACAGCCGAAGGTGTCAACCTTAACGTTCAGAACACAGCGATTTTGTTTTCTTCCTTCGCCATCCTTGCCTTCGTGTGTTCGATAAAATACCGAGTGGAACCTCCCCAGCGGCCTGGAGCCCTGAGTTCTGAGGACCGGGGAGGGGGGGTGGTCACTCAACCTGAAACGCTAACTCTCGCTTTCTCTCCAGAGATGCTGCCAGACCTGCTGAGCTTTTCCAGCGATTTCTGGTTCTGCGTTGGAGTTGTTAGCCCCTGCGTCTTCCAGTGGATGTCTTAGCCTTGGGGCCTGCGGTTTCAAGGAGATGTACGGTATCCCCTCTGTGCTGACCCAGATATCCTAAATTAATCTGGTCCCGTTTGCCAGCATCTGGCCCCTATCCCTCTAAACCCTTCCTATCCATGTCCCCATCCAGATGCCTTTTAAATGTTGTAACTGTACCAGCCTCCACCCACTTCCTCTGGCAGCTCGTTCCATGCACGCACCACCCTCTGCGTGAAAAAGTTACCCCTCAGCTCCCTTTTAAATCTCTTCCCCCTCTCACCTTAAACCTCTGGTTTCTCAGACCTAGAAATGTTTCTCTTCTCCCTGCTTATCAGTGGTTTATACAATCTCTTTATCTTGGGATTGATAGGAACTAAGCAAAGAGACAGCGATAACCCATGGCCTCTGTAACTGTTTGCAGTTTGCAAAACATTCTTGCTATGGAGGGAGTCCAGCGCAGGTTCACCAGACTGATTCCCAGGATGGCAGGACTGATGAGGCAAAACTGGATCGACTAGGTTTCTACTCGCTGGAATTTAAAAGATTGAGGGGAGGGGTGCGCAGATCCTGTAGAAACATATGAAATCCTGATGGGACTGCACAGGCTAGATGTGGGAAGAATGTTCCTGATGTTGGGGAAGTCCAGAACTAGGGGGTCACAGTCTAAGAATAAGGGGTAAGCCATTCAGGATTGAGAAGAGGAAGAATTTCTTCACTTGGAGAGCTGTGAACCTGTTGGATTCTCTCCCACAGGAAGCTGTTGGGGCTAGGTCGTTAGATATAACCAAGACGGAGCTGGACGTGACCCTTGCGCTTAAAGGGATCAAGGGGCATGGAGAGAAAGTGGGAATGGGATACTGAGATTGCATGACCATATTGAATGGTGGTGCAGTCCCCTACTCCTGCTGTGATCATGATGACTGTGATGAAGCACACCTCCCCGCTTCCAGGGGGGTGGGGGGGTGTCACTAATGGGGGAAGGAAACCTGCCCTCCTTACCCTGCTCTGGGCCTACATGTGACTCCAGACCACACACAGCGAGGGTGCTGACTCTCAACTGGCCTCTGAAACAGCCCCCCAATTGAAACGCTGGGTTTGTGGGGGGGGGGCGGTGGGATGACAAATGCCAGCCTTGCTGGTGATATGCCCCCACACAGAAGAATGCCCCTCTTCTCCCTCCTCCTTCAGTAGCCCCTGTGATTTAATTCCCTCAGAACTCGCCCTGCTCCCATTAGGAGGACACCTTGGAATCTACAGGCAGTATGTTTCACGTCGGAACTTGTGTTAATAAAAATTCTCTTCCTCACCCTCCAAAATCTATGCCCATCTGGTTGGAAGAGTTCGTGCAGCTCGGAATGTAACCCTTCAGCCCATTAATGTCCACGCTGGTCCTCACAGATCCACCTACCCTCGTCCCATTTTCCAGCAATTTGCCTGCAAGCTTGCAAAGCGGAGGAGGATAGGTCTCTCTCTTTATATGCCTCTCAGAACACTGTAGACCTCACTCGGGTCCCCCTCTGCTCTAAGCAACATCCTGGTGAATCTCTTCCCTCTCCAGTGAAGTCACATTCTCACAGTACACCAGAGACCAGAACCTGACTGATGTTCTGTACAACTCCAGTGGGATCTCAAACAAACTCTCAACGCTGCAGAAACTCAGCAAAACCTGGCAGCAGAGTGAAGGAAGCGCGGAAACAGACCCTTCGGCCCAACCAGTCCATACTGACCATAATCCCAAACTAAACTAGTCCCACCTGCCTGCTCCTGGCCCATATCCCTCCAACCATTTCTTACTCATGTACGTATCCAAATGTCTTTTAAATGCTGTAACTGTACCCACGTCCACCACTTCCTCAGGAAGCTCATTCCACACACGAACCACCCTCTGTGTTTAAAAAAGTGCCCCCTTGTGTCTTTTTTTAAAATCTTTCTCCTCACCTTAAAAATGTGCCTCCACCCAGTCTTGAAATTCCTCACCCTGCTAGGGAAAAGACATCTACGAGTAACCGTTTCTGATTTTATAAGGGTCACCTCTCAATCTCCTACGCTCCAGTGGGGGGTAAAAAAAAAATCTCCCAGCCTTCCTTTGTAACTCAAACCCTCCAGATCTGGCAACATCCTGGTAAATCATAGAATCCCTACAGTGTGGAAACAGGCCGTTTGCCCCAACAAGTGCACACCGACCCTCAGAGCATCCCACCCAGACCCATCCCCCTATAACCCACCCATCCCTGGGCACTACGGGGCAATTTAGCACGGCCGATCCACCCTAACCTGCACATCTTTGGACTGTGGGAGGAAACCCATGCAGCCATGGAGGGGGAGAATGTACAAACTCCACACAGTCGGCAGAGCGTGGAATTGAACCCGGGTCCCTGGTGCCGTGAGGCAGCGGCGCTAACCACTGAGCCACCGTGCCACCCCTTACTCATCTGAAGTCTCTGTGGCTTAATAATCTCTTTTCCTATAATTTCAGAACTCTTAAGACCCTTTTTGCTTTTGCTAATGAAGATAATTATCCTATAATCCCTTCTTAACCACATTGTCTAGACATAGACATCCTTTGACCTTTGAAGGCAGCAATGTCCTTCAATTTTCACTGTGTACTCCCTGGGGCCTGGCCCTTGCCGCTGGTGGATACAGTTTAACCGCACTCACTCCATTAAAAGCACATCGCTATTTCACATGTCAAATTTTTTTCTGGGAAAAAGAAATCAGCTTCGTCAAGGCCAACAGGGCTCTGGTGTAAATCTGTAGCAAGTCTGCAACTCCAACATCTCTGCAGCGATGAGTGCACCTACATCTAGCAAGGAAGTGGATGGCGAGTTTTAGAGCACAGAGCTGGCCAAAAGGAACCCGATGGTGACACAGGGAAAGAGGACTTTCAATAACAAAACGAGTGGCTGCAGGAGTTTATAATGTTTCGGAGTCCAATGACCCTTCCTTTCACAGCCTCAGTTAGGTCTCCGGTGCGATGGGGGAAGATTTATACAGGATCTCAAACCTGCTGTAGGATCATGACCAAAGTGAGCATCTGAGTTGACAGACACTGGAGAGAACAACTCCCTACCCCCATTGCTACCTGCATTAGCACTCGCAGGGACCGTCAGAGAGAGAGCGGACAGTGCCCCTGGTTTAATTGTTTCATGCTCAAAAAGTGCCCACTTCCCTGGGCTTCTTTGGAGTATGGGTTTGAGGGGCAACACTGCTGCAATAAAATGTCCCCCCTTTCTTCGGGAAACTCCAGGGGCAGCAAAATGCAGAACCCCAGTAATTTCTTGCCTCGGGGGTGGGGGGGTGGGAACAGGGGCCCTGGGCGAGACAGGGAAAACAAATGTGGGCACAGGCCCGGGGAAAAAGGGTCAGAAGTCACCCTGCCCATCAAACGTCCCACCCAAAGCCCTCCGAACGGCACCTAGCTCGGTGGCCGTGGGGAGCAGGTGGGCTTCTGAGAAGCGGGGCAGGCCTGGGAGAGAAGGGCTGAATAGTCTCCTCACAACTTTATCACAAGAAATGAGAAATCAAGCACGTTGACACGGTCCCCCCCACCCACCCCCAAGATGTTCCCCTCCCAAGCATCTATTCCTGTCAAAGAGATTAATAGATAGGCAGCACAATGTGGTCTACCTACACACACACAGACACGAGGCAGTGACCTGTCTCAAAATTTAATGTTAATCCAAAAAAAATTAATGAAATGAAGGACTCCCATAACATCTGAATTTTCATATTTACAACATTTTAAATTATTTCTCAATTGTAACATCATTGTAAACTACCACTCCCTCCCCCCTCAGAATAAAAACCATGCCTCCATTCCCATTCAGCAGAGGTTTCAAGCTCCCTACCTCTTTTGAGGGTTTGCCCTGAATTTGGGATCACCGTTTCCCCGTCTCTTCCCCACCGGAAAAATAACCCCCGAGCCCGGAAATTCCCAGTAAAGAATAAGACATTTCCACAGCAGATGGGGTGTGGAGAAACGCAAAAGGAGGGGCGGTTGAGAGCTTGCGGCCAGTCTCAACAGAGAAGTGATTTCGTTTCTCTGTTCAGCTCCTTGTAGAGGCTTACAGTCGACTCTAAAAATGCGGCGTGGCAGTACGATATCAGGCGTTCTGCATCGCACGGTCTCCCTCAGATAAGTGTGCGGTCGCTGATGCAGGCAAATCGAATTCCATACAGCTGCCTCCTGATGGGTTGGCACTTCTGGTGGGCAACTCAAGAAGGGGCCACCCTCTGCGCTGCTAACCCCTGGCCTCTCCCTGCTGCCCTGGCTCGTCCCCCCCACCCCGACCAAAACTCTCTGACAATCGGCCACGCAGTTTCACCCCCCCCGACCCCAACCAAAACCTATGGCAAAATTACCATCCAGAGTTCGACCTTTGGGGCACGACGGGGATGGTTGTGGGGTGGGGTGGGGTGGGGGAAGGGGGCAGAAACGATCTTCCCCCTCATTTTTATTTACACACTTCCACACCACTTTTTAAAAATAGGAGGGGAGGGCACTTGGAATGGCTTGGGTAGTGGGCACCAAATTTTTGTTGTCTTTAGGAAATGACCGATGCGTAATAATCTCGAAGCGGGCACCTTCTGAAATGGGACTGGGGGGGTGGGTGGAGTTTAGTAAGCAGGAAATTTTTAAAACAACCGAGAGCTCAGCGGGAGGGCGAGAGAAAGAGAGAGAGTTGCCTATTTGCAAAGTGCGATCCCATTGTGGATTCTCTAAGGGTGGCGTTTGGGGGTGGGGGGGGGGGGG